GAGAGAGAGAGAGAGAGAGAGAGAGAGAGAGAGAGAGAGAGAGAGAGCGCTCCCACTCCCCTTCAGATACATGTGAATGTTCCGGGACCTGATTCATCCAAAGATGAAGATGGGAAAGAGAGGGCACAGAGACAGAGAGTGGAGGGATCCTCAGTACCCATCTACCATACTGTGCAATGGTACAAGACGGATCAGAGTTAGGTTGGTGTGTGTGCATGCCTGCGTACATGCCTGCATGCGTGCGTGCGTATGATACTGGCCTCTAAACACTAAAACCATCCAAGAAAGGCAAAGAACATTTTTCTCCAGTTCATTACTACCTGGAAGTTCCTTATTCTGACAGATGTTCCAGGAACCCCACAGTCACATGACCCAGAGCACAGGGACTCTGCCTGCTCGTTCCTCTGCCCTCATTACGCACTGCCTGTCTCTGCTCTACCATCCCACTGTGAGAAGGGCCTACCCTATTCCTGCCTGACTACCAAAGACCCTTAGCATCAAAGTGGTCTCCCTTCAACACAAATCTGGATACTGCATTGTGTTTAAGATCTTTGGCTGGCTGGGCCTGATGTACAGGCCTGTAATCCTAGCTACTTGGAAACCAGAGGCAGGAAGATCAAGGCCTGCTTGATCTACAGAGCAAGTTCCAGGTCACTGTGGGAAACTTAGTGAGACTGTCTCAAAACAAACAAGACAATAACAAAGCGCTGGGGATGTAGCTCAGTGAGAGAGTTCTGGCCTAGGGTGAGAACCTGGGTATCTTCCTACACCAAACCAATATGTTGAAGCCTCCTTTCTAATGTGTGGGAAGCAGACAGTGGGGCCTGTGGGTCAGGGGTGCACACCTTCAAATGTGATCCTTCCGCTAGAGACCCCAGAGAGCTTCTTCACTCCATCACCCTTTCTGCTGCACACACAGCTGCTCCTTCTGCACGCTAGGAAAGCTTTCCCACTTGTTCGCCCCTGGCCACCCCTCCCCAACCCTCCAAGACCCCATACAGCACTTCTAGGAGGCACCCTCAGAACATTCTATATCGCAGGGTGTCTTTCTACATCCTTGTTGATCACTAGGTGATATTTGCCATCTTATAGGTGCTCCTTGAACCAAGAGTCCAGAACACAGCTCTGTCCCCAGTATCCGAGTCACACCCCAAGATCCTCCGTTCTTCCCTAACTGATCCTGTAGCACGGAGAAGATGAGCAGCCCCACACAGCCTCTTTCTACTTGGAAGCTGGTTCCTCATGTTCTCGTGTTACATGGCTATGACAGTGACCACAGCACCCGCCCCTCCCTTGGGGCCTTCAGTGTTTCCAGTAAGTCTTGGTGTTAGATGCTCATGTGGACACTGCCTTCTGGGGGCTCAGGCACCCTGGTATCTTGCCCAGTTCTGCATCCACCGGGAGACAGGGCAGCTCAGAGGGTCAAACGTCAGGCCCCAAGCTCCTTTCTGTGGCTGAACCCTGTGGCTGTCGGCATCAATGACCTTTCTAGGCTGTTTCTGAAGAGGGCGTCAGCTTTCTGGTGCCCTGCTTAACTTTTCCACCTCTCTGGGTGATCACAGGGGACTCCACCTTCTGCAAACACGTATCTCATTGCTTTTCCAAACCGGAACCTTCTAATACCCCAAAGGAGCAGTCTCTCCTCTTCTGCTTGTGAGAGGACGCCTTTCCCCAATCTTCTGGGCTGCTCTGTGTTGCTCATACTTTGCGTGTTTTCCTTTTGTCTGCCATTTCCTGTAAGCATGATCGTGTGTCCTAAAGCAGCAAGGAGTGCCTGCCCTCTGGTGGTGGACACACTGGGTGCATCAGACTAGAAGTCAGAATCCCAACGGAAGGGACATTACTGGCACTCCAAGTCATAAAGAACCTTCCGTTATGACAAGGACAGTGCTGGAAGCTCTGGAAGCTTCCTCGCTGGGTCGGTCCTGGTGCTGAGAGGTTGCAGAGAAGAACTAGAACAGTCATGAGCAGCAGGGCCCAGGAAGAGCTTGATGGTATATGAAAATAAGGTTTGGGAAATGCCGCCGAGGCTCCGTCTTGACCCTAGTGTCCAAGTCTATTCACCCTGCTTACCAGTAAACCCTGGGTGTGGCCTAGACCTATGTATCGCCTATGGTAGGCCTTTGAGTACTTTCCTCAGTTGGTGGTCCCAGCCAAGCCTCCCAGTCAGCCCTGTCTGACCACAGGCCTCACCCTGAGGGAGATGAGCCGCAGCCGATAGTCCTCAGTGTGGATGACTTTCTGCACAGTGATCTCCACGCCGTCGTGGACAACCTGCTCTTCCGGCCAGTACTCCGTGCACTTCTGCAAGGACCAAGATCAGGCTGTGTTACTCCCCTGTTTCCCTCCCACATCCCCTCCTGCTCTGCTGGGGCCAACAGACGGGAACACGAGGACAGCAGGTTTGGTTATTAGAGGGTAGCATTAAAATTCTGACTTCATACCCCGTCACCTACTCATTTTTGAGCCTCAGTTTCCCCATTTGTAAGATGAAAATGGTACCCCTTTATAGGATTTTGTATGTGTGTAGCGGCCAGAGTTTAACATCAAGTGTTGTTCCCATGTGCAGTCCACTGTGGTGTTCAGGACAGAATCTCTCATTGACCTGGAATTCATCAAGACTGGTTGGCCAGTGAGCCCTTGGTCTGCCCGTCTAGCTTCATAGCACTGGTGGTACTGATGCATATACCATGCCTGGGTTTATTTACATGGGTGCTGAGTTGAAACTCAAGTCCTCAACTGAGCTATGTCCCCAGCCTCCCTCTGAAGGCTATTTTATGGGGGTTCAATTAAAGGAGCTGTTCATCATGAGCTTTCACGTCACTGGCAGATTGGGAGGCAGCAAAGTATCCCGGAGGAAAGCATGGCCACTGGATGGGGAGGGAGAAGCCGGCCCCAGGCTCTGCTCTGCTCTGCTCTGTGTGGCCCCAAATGGAAATCTTAATCCCTGTCATCTTCCATTTCCTTATGCTGGCAGTTAAGTGCACACCAGGATCACAACATTCTCATAAAAATTAATATGCAAACGAGATGCTTCATGTGGGGCTAAAAGCAGGGAGCACTGAGCAACGGCACAGGGTCCCTACCTCGTTCATCTCCTCGATGTTGGTGATCATGACAATGATGGGTGTGTGCTCCTGCCACACCATGCGCCAGAAGTCGGCCACAGTGCTGACAATGGGTCCCTGTGTGGCGATGTACACCTTCTCCTTCCCACTGTAGCCCTGTAGCCGGCCAAGTTCAGCCTGTCAGGTCAGGGTCAGAGGCGGCACTCCCGGGGCCCCATCCCATAGTTAGGCTCCTCTTGGGGCTTGTAGGAGCCACACTGGGTTAGGGACAAGTCTGGAGGATAGATTCCACCAGCTCAGGCCTCTCCTTTAGTGGAAAGCTCTTGGAATGGAGCTACGTACCCGGATGTAGTTGGCATTGATGTAGGAACTCAGAGGATCTGTAGGATCTGGTGAAGTCAGACACACCCTGCTGTGAGGATCTGGGGTGGGAGACAGGTGAAACTGTGAGCTGGGCCTTCTGGTACAGGATGTAACTTCTCTGTTCTACTGCACAGTACCCACATTTCCTCTGGGATCATGGCCAGTATGTGCTCTCACGGTGCAGGGGTGCCATTATGAATCATTACCATCAGGTATAACCAAACCAATACCATCAGTCATAACCGAAAGAGTTACCAGGGGCTGCTAAGGTGGCTCAGAGGGTACAGCCACTTGCTGCCAAGCCTGACAACTTGAGTTGGATCCCTAGGATCCACAAGCTGGAGGGGAGAACTGAATCTCACACATCGTCCTCAGACCTCCACAAGTGTGCTGCCCCATATGTACTTATATGTATGTATATACAAAATAAATCATATTAAAAGCAAGTCAATGGGAAAAAGTAGAGCCCCTGACCCTGGAAGCAGCCCGCGCAACAACTTAGGGCAGATGCTAATTGACAGGTAGCTGCTGTTATCACGAGTTTCCAGCAGACAGTAGGAACGAAGAAGAACCTAGGGGTGATGGGTATATGCCTCTCATCTCCACTCCTCTGCCAGCCCCTGTCTCTGCCTGGGTCATGGCAGGTGACACGGGGGTGGACAGCTCTTGTAGAGAGGGCAAGGAAGTAGTGCAGGGAAGGGGTAAGAGCAGGTAGGAGAGGCTTCTGCAGGGTCAGAAGAAGAGAGTGCTCGAGCAGACAGTTCTGTCTGGACCTCTTGGTTTCGCCTATCCATGTTAGGTGCTGGAAGGACAGATGTGGGTGCTGCCTTCTCTGGCCGGATATCAGAGCTTCGTGATATCTGGGAGTCACTGTGGTGGTGGTAATGATTGCATTCTACAGCCCCGGTTTGTGCTGGCCCTGTGCTGTGCTTGTGAGAAGAGCCTTTGAGATCAACAAGACATGTGTGGTTCCTGCTACAAAAGAGGGCATAGTGTTGGGCAGGAAGACAAGAGGTGCATGGCCTGAGAGCTCTGGGCTGGAGGGACAGGGAAGACTGGAGGGACGGGGGGGGGGGGGACTGTGATCGGGTTAGGGTTGCTGCGCTTCCCAGAAAATGTGGCACTTTTCAGGGGTTGGAGAACCAGAAGGAGAAACAGAGAACACTGTCTGAGCAGGTGCTCAGGCCATGGCTTAGCTTGGTGAGAGATGGGAGCTGCAGGGGAGCCAGGTGCCACCGTCTCACATATGCTTAGAGGGGGTGATATTGACTGTGTTTAGGGAAGGAGGTGGCAAGATAAGGTTTCTGGTGTGCTCCGTTTTGAGAGAGGGGCAGGAAGGAGAAAAAGCACAAGTCAGGATATATCTGCCACAGTCTAGGAAGAAGTGTCAAGGTCACACAGGCTGCCCTCTCTGGCACCTCGCCCAGGGACATTTATGCCAGTGTACCATAAGTCAGTGGTGCTCATTAGAGCTAGGCAATATGGAAGTAATTTGGTAGTAAGGATGGAAGGGAGGGGGCCGGACCTGAGAGGCTCATCCACTCATTCATTCAAGAAGGTCCAGACCGCCTCCCAGTTGCTTCACACTCTTTTGGAGTTTGAGGTACTGTGCTGGGCAGGGCAGTTATTGTGCCCCTGCGGGGCCTGTGCTCACCCACAGAACTGTTGCTTTTGCTTGACGCCAAGCTCTGTGTGCAGAATCCAAATTCTCAGTCCCTGGGATGGGGCTCAGGAAATGTGAGCAATCAATGATAGGACAAATCTCAGGGTGCCACCCCCCCCATCCTAGAGGCTGCCTCTGCTGAGCCTTCTGTGATCTTTGTCCCCCCAGTCCAGGTCTCTTATAGTTCAAGGTCAGCTCTGCCTGATTGTACAACATTCTATGTTGGGTTTGGGGGCCTGGAGGTTCAGGACGCAGTTAGAGAAGCTGGGAGCCTGTCAGCAGCCCAGCAGGACCACAGGGACTCTGGTTGACTCCAGTGGCCATTCTAAGGAGCCAGCGAAACCCTAGCCTCTGGGGTACCCGGGCCCCTGCCTCTAGGAAGAACAGGAGCATGGAGAGTAAGTCGAGAAAAGAGGTGAGCAGCCCGACGACGGCATCCTGGCCTTAAATGGTGCTTTGTTTCAACGTAACTACCTAGAGACTGGGTAACCATAGCAACCACAAGTCGATATTTTAAAAGTTAAAAATAAGTCATGACATCTTCCATGCTGCCGGAGAAGCTGATGGCAAACTGCTTTTTAAGGGCTCACTACTCCACAAACTGGCTGGAGTAGGTTTTTGGGGATTCACGTTCAACAACGAGTCACCCCCTCCTTCCGAGCTAGCCCCCGGAGGGCCTTGATCAAAACTACCTGGCGATGATACCATGGGATGGGATGGGAACAGGAGGTCTCCAAGGGAGACAAGCCCTGCTCAGGCCTTACGGAGGGCTCTCTGTGTAGCCTCACTTGGACATGCCTCCTTATAGACAGATCACTACAGGATAAAGGTACCTCATTTCCTGTGGGAGGCGGCTCTGCCTGCTAGAGGACTGACAGTCAGGTCCTGCAGAACACAGGCAGACAGAAAAGTCTGATTCTGGGGTCACAGAAGCCCAGGTTTAGGGAACCTTTTTTTTTTTTTTTTAACTAGCTGTGTGTCTGTGGACAAACCACTTACCTTCTCTGAGCCTTTAATGTTTTCTTCTTAAAGTATACCCACCCAGAAGAGAAAGGTCATGCAAATACTTTAGTCACTGCTCACGGCCTCAGAGCCACCCTTTTTCCAGAGTTCAGTGTGACTAGCCAGGAAGGGCAAGGGCCAGGGCTAAAAAAGGAGCCCGTCTCTGCTCTCCATCCTCTCTCTCCCCGGATGGGCCTGGTCTCCATACCGTCTACTGTGATGACTGCCCACCATCTCTAGAGGCCCAACTCTGGATTTAGATCTTCCCAGATGACAGGACCCATGCTCCTCCCCACCCTGGGGTAGCAGGTACTCACTGGGGAGGATGGTTCGGTACCGATTCTTCCGCACCAGTCCTGGGATGTCATACTCTTTTGGATCCACGAAGTTCATGGGGATTTCCTACAAGAGGAAGACATGGGGCTGTAAGTAGCTTCAGGCTGGTCTTCTCAGAAGTCCATATTCAGCTCTACCTGCCAGTGCAGGGGCTGTCTTGAGTTCATGCATTCATTCGAGGGACATTTACTACCGAGTGAGTGAGCGCGCACACACATGTAGAATAGTTACTGGCATTTGCCAAGTGCACAAAATAAAGAGCACAGCAGTAGCCCGTTGAGGGCCAGCTTGGTTTGAGACAGACATTCAATGAAAGGCCAAGCGAAAACGAACAAGACGAAGAGTGACCTTGCCAGTCGCCCCCTCCCTCCCTGTTTCCTGTGCAGCAGCCAGTCCGGTAGTTCGGGGATGTGTGTTCCTGCTGTGGGCATCCTCACCTTGGACTTCTGTTTGTGATGCTCACTTTTTGGTAAGACTTGACCCACCCTCCTCTCCTCCACACATCCCGTCTATCTGAAGTCACTTCCTCTAAGAATCTTCCCTGATTGCCCAGTACAAAGGGAACTGATTCTCATCCCTTAAGGCCCTTTGTGCCTCCGAAGGAGTTCCTTGTCAGATGGGCACCTCTTCAGATCTGGCTTCCCTTCATTTGCAGTTGGGTCTGAGTCTTCTCTTGTTCCATTCCCCATGTCCCCCTTATACTGGAGGTTGGACCTAGAGCCTTATGCATGCCCGGCAAGTACCCTCCCACTGAACTAAAATTCCAGCTTTCCCCACCCACTTTTAAATTCTGAGGCGATCTCAGCTGGTTGCTCAATAACCCTGTATGGCCCAGGTGGGCCCTGAACTTGTGTGCTTCCCAACTTGGCTTTCTTTGTTTTCCCTCCTCTGCCTCCCAGGCCCAGGTCTGCGTTCATGGTGCTACGCTTGCTGAGAGGACTCGTCTCAGCTCTGCACGTCCGAATTGCCTCTAACTCTCAGGTTCACCTTAGTGCCAATCCCCACCCATGGCCTCTGGGGTATCTCCCCAAAGATGCCTCCCTATGCACCCCCTTCTAATCAGGCTGCACACTTTACCACCTAGTCTTACTACTCACTGGATATACTAGATGGTCTTTGCCCAGTGTAGAGGATGATCCCATCTAGGACTCTTGTGAGAATCAAAAGAAGCAATAATTAAAAAAAAAGCCCCACCACACACATGTGCAGAACTGCCCATGGAGTGGGTGAGCAGGCTGTGTTCCTTTTTCCCTGGCAAAAATCTATAGTATCTGCCGAGCAGGAAGGGACGGGGAAGGCTGTTTTCACGGGGAGAGGATGATGGTGGGAGCTGGGTGGTGGAGGAAGGCTGTCTAGAGACAGGAGGTGGGAATGATGGGAGAAAGGTACCAGTCACCTGACCCAGAAATGAACAGTTTCTGCTGGTATGTGTGTGTCAGGGGAACATGAAGAAGGCCGGGGTCCATCACTTGGGGCTTTCTGCAGGTGGAGACAAGCTCTTGAGATCTTGGAGCACTGAGCCCAAGCAGCACAGTGTGTGTGTTACCTGACTGGTGAGTTCGATGGGAGAGTGGACTGGCAAGCGTCAGGTCCTCCCTTTCCCCTCTGGGGGTTCTTTTGTTAACGATTGGCACAGACCATGGGCAAGGCCAAGACCCCCTCTGGCAGTGGAGCCTGCTATTTCTGAGGACCATTCTCAAAAGTCTAACACTGCCAAAGTCTCACTTCAGCCTTCCCTTGTGGTGACAACACAGGCCACACATTCTTATGGCTGAGCTCTTATGTGGCTAAGCACTCCTGGCAGGAGATTAGGACTGTTACTTGTCAGAGGTTGGGAAAGGACTAAGCCCTAGCCTAAGCTTGAAACCAGGGAAGAGAAGTGGGGACCCAGGAGCATGGGCATAAACATCCTTGATGATATCAGGCAGGAAGACAGGAGAATGAGTAGGCGAGGCTTTCTTTTTCCTGGGGGTTGACCCAGATTGGTGTTTGCTACTCGGCACGTGTTCTACCGCGGCACTACACCACCAGGGGAAGGCTGCTTTCTGTGGCTTCCAGAGTCCAGTTCCAGTTCTCCCAACAGACCCAGAATCTGTCTGCCTGATGTATGGTTCTGTCCTCCTCAACTCCTGCAAAGACCCTGCCATTTGTGACTTTCCAGGGGAGGATATCAGGTCTCAGAGGGTAAGAGCTTGCCCAGGGTGCTCGGAGAGATGACCACGGGCTGTTGATCTGTTCCATGTGTGGATCTGTATACTCTGCAGTACTGACTGGCTGGGTGGTGCAAAGGTGGCTGGCCACTTCAAGGAACTCACAAAGAATTCTGCCTGCAGCAAGAATGGGTCCAGGGCCTTCTCGTGCAGCTCCTCTGCCCGGAGGATGCGGGAGGCACTGAGCAGGTACTCATGGGCTGACTCCTCCCGGGGGGACACCAGGTAGCCAAAGCCCTCCTCATTGCAGCCAGGGGTACACATGTCCAGGGTCAGGGAGACGTTGGAGCCCCTCCTGCAAGGGTCACAGAAGAAGATACGAGCCTTAGGCATGAAAGAAAGAAAGAAGGTGGCCAGAGGAGAGCAGGGCGGGCTTCAGGAAGAGAGATGTGACAAGAACCTGTTCTAAGACGCACATGGCTCTGTCCACACACCTGTCTGCTGCTTCCCACAGTGGGGCGGAGGCCCCGGTTCCCAAAGTTCAACCCAAGCAATCCCTAATGGCCCTCCCCTGGACTCTGCTGAGGGAGGAGGCCCACAGGGGAGACACATGCTACGGTGACCCTCAAGCTCAAGAGGGCAGCTTCCGAGCCCAGCATCACAGTGCTAGAATGAGGCTGTCATGGTATTCAATGCATTTCAGCCGGGAGAGGCCAGGGCCCTTTGCATCCAGGGAAGGAGGGAGCTCAAAGGCAGCCAGTAGCAGCCCACCTATATAGTTAGCTATACTGGGCCAGCTCCATCATGCCCAGTGTCGAAAACCTCAGGACAGGAGGGATCCTGCTTACACAGAAAGGGGCACCGAGTTTCAGGAGGTACGAGCATTGTTCAGGCTTTTACTATGAGAAAGTGGCAGAGCCAAAAAAGGTCGTCTAAGTTTTCTGAGTTCCCGTCTAGTATTTTCTATAATATCCTGTGGGTAATACAAACCATGGGTGAGCTGGCTTACCCAGCCTTAAATTCAGGATGCCACTACCTCTCAAAACTTGCTCATGGAATCCTATGGGGTACTTACAGGAAGTAGAGGTTTTGGGAAATGCTACCTACTGTCCTTTTGTCAGATTACAAGGAATACCATCAAGTTAAAGGCTCCAACAATAAGGAAATGAACCCTGACTTCCTCAAGTCAAGAAGAGTATGGGTGTGCTCATGTGCACGTCTGCACATACCTGTGTGTGCATGGGAAGGAACTGCACTTTTGGGCATTCATCTTGAAGTACCCCAATCAATATGCAGTACTGGGAAAGCACATGTTTACACATGCTAAGCTATGAGGCAAACCCTGCACTCTAACCTAGAGGCTAGGTATCTGCCCTCCAAACAGGAGCTGAGAATTTGTCATCCCCAGCCCACCCGTCCCCTGCCCCTCCCACCTCTCCTGCAGACCCATGGACTTGACAGTCAACGAGGTGGGATCACTCTCAGGCTTGATGTCCATCACACAGTCAAACACAGGGGTCTCGGGCACCGCATCCAGGTCCAGGAAGTCATCCTCCACCTTCTCCTCCATCCACTCCGAATAGGTGAAGGAGGGCTGGCGGCTCACGGATTGGCGCCTGTCCTCTGGGGGAAGTGGGGCAGGTGGCTCTGGGGGTACCTTGAGGAGGTGCCACACCTGGTTGGGAGCATACGGCATCATGGACCTGGGCTCATGCTCACTACCTGCTGGGCGCATGGGTTACCCTGTGGGACTGAGCTGTCTGATGCTACCAGGTCTAGAGCAACCACATTCTCCTGGCTCTTAGACGCCAGGCTCTACCCACACTCTACCTTCTCTGTCCCCAGTTTCTAGTGGACTTAATTCTTCTGGGTGGGGCTTGGGGGTTCTTCGTGCCTCAGCCCTTTTTCTTAGCCTCAATCACTTCTAGGAAGGAGCCTCTTGCTTTAAGGAGGCATCCTGCTGAAGGAGGAAGCCTGTTTTTGTCCGATTCAAAACCAGGTTAGCCCTGTCTAGGGGTCAGGTGGATCCAGCGGGAAGTGAGGCTTTCGAGAGAGGGAAGGACTTCCCTGGGGCTCAGGACAAGGAGGTACCTTACCAGGGCGGTGATGACGACCAGGCCTATAGTCAGAGAGACTAGCAGCAGACTTGGGATCCCCCAGGTCCCAGAAACCAGCCAGGCCTGGGGAATATCAGACAAACTAGTCAGTTCCCCGAGGGGTTGAGAGAGGTCATGTTCTTGTCTATTTCAAAAGTAACAAGAAAACCCATCCTGGGTCTGGGTGGGATGCAGGCAGATGGCTTTTGGGTTCCTGAACCCAGAGATGCCCCAGCCAGAAGTTGTGAGGGAGGGATGGGAAGCCCCAGCGTATCCCCACTCCATCCCACTGTCCTAGGGGTCCCCAGAGTTTACTCACCACAGGTCCCAGATGGTTCAACAGGGTGAGCGAGGAAGAGATGAGGTCTGTGGTGTTCTGCAGCCAGGAGTGGCCATGGCCACTGAGCCAGAGCACCCCACAGGCGAGCTGGGGCAGTCAGGGGAGCAGACTGAGCGCAGAGCTGGGGCCCTTTGCCCCTATATTGCCCTGCAGAGCTCACCTTCAGCCCCAGCCTGGGCCCCCAGGAAGCCTCTGGCCTTCAGGGCCCCAGGAGCCGCTCAGACTGGGCAGCGGAGGGAAGGGCCGCGTACCCAGAGGAGGCCCCAGCACTCTTTGGGAGAAAAGCTAATCACAGGTGGCTGAGACAGAGCCCTTCCCACAGGAGACCCCAGAGGCACACATAGAAGACAGGTCTTCCAGGAAGACCTCCTTAGACGGGAAGTCTTCAGGGGGAACCCCGTCGGACCAGGAGCTCAGGGACTGGGGATCCTGTTTTCTTAGTTTGGGGATAAGAGTTGACAGGACCTGAGGAGCTTCATTCCCTAGACTGCAGCTCAGAACTCCAGTCTTCCCCTCACTCCAGTCAGAAGACTTGGAGTAACTGAGGGCCACCAGAATGGCCCTTGCCTCTCAGCTTCCCCAGGCAGCCATCTCAGGAAGAAGTAGAAGGCTGTCCCTTAACCCACCCTCTCTCCAGGCCCTAGTGGGGCCAGTGACATCCTTACCAGGAACTGAGAAGCAGCGAACAGGCACAGGCTGCTTCTGACAGTGAGGGAGTGGCTCCCGGAGTCTTGAGGTGGCAGCTTTTGAGCTGGCTCAGAGGGCGGTGAGGGTGGCGGGGGTGGTGGCATCTCCCTCTGCTTGCTGGGGAGCCCTTCAGCCTCGTTCAGTGGTTCCATCTCTACCGGCTGGGGGAGACCTGCAGAGGATGGGCCAGGAGGGGTTGGTAACTCTGGGCTGTCTGAGCACAGGACTGCCAGCCTATGGAGGTCTGCACCTTCCCGTGCTGCCGTGGCTTCCTCTCAATACCGGCTCAGGCAGCGAGGCTCCACTTCCAGCAGTCACCCTCGATTAGCAAAGCAATATTCACCTACCTTCGTCAGAAAGAGCTACGTGTGGGTGGACAAATTATTTCTCTTTTATTTCTGCAGTAAGGGAGTTAAAATGGCAGGGGGTTTTCAGAGTTAACACCGTTGTATTTGCGCAGCTTCATTCTTTTCCGTTTCTTAAGGAAACAAAAACAACTACCTCAAACTCAATTAAAAAAGCAATGGGGGAAAAAAAAGAATACGGCATAAGCAGGCCATGACCCTGAGCAACCCACCCACGCCTGCTCTCCAGATTTTTGTCTTTTGTGATAAGAGCCGCAAGTGGGGCTGGAAGACTGAACCTGGGGTGATTATGGCTGTGCATCTTCCCCACTGTGAGACCCCCACACGAACTGGGAAAGGGAGGTCGGGGCCGTGTGGAAGAAGATTTTGGTGATAAGAATAGATATTGGCTGTCTTTGGTGGTGAAAACTAGGTATTGGGTTCAGCTCTAGTATGACTGCAGTTGTCACGGCCGAGGACGCTTGTTCTTTGAACCTCAGTTTCCCCATCTGAGAGATGGGTGTTGGGTTCAATATTAGTCTTTCCCTCTTAAGAAAATGATTATTTTTAATGGACGTGTCTGAATATAGGTGCAGGCATGTGAGTGCAGGTACCCAATGAAGCCAGAGGCATGGGATCCCCTGGAGCTAGAGTTACAGAGGGTTGTGAGCTGCCTGACAGGGGTGCTGGGAACTACACCCGAGTCCTCTGCGAGAGCAGCAAGTGCTCGGAGCCGTTGCCCCATCCCCCAGTCTTTCTCTAAAAGAAGCATCATTTATTGAGGGCCTGCGTGTGAGTGAGTTGGTCAAAGGCTAACTTTCGAGGCAGAGCCTCTCTTGTTTCGCTTGCTGTGCTGCAGGTACTACTGGCTGGTTCTTCTGTCTCTGTCTCCCATCTCCCCTTAGAAATGCTGGCATTACATATGCAAGACACCATGTTCGGTTTTTCTCTGTGGGTTCTGGGATTTGAACTCAGGCTGTCAGGCTTACAAAGTCATCTTTTTCGTTCCTCTTCCTTCCTTCCTTCCTTCCTTCCTTCCTTCCTTCCTTCCTTCCTTCCTTCCTT